ATAAATAAGATTTAGATAGAGGTGAAAAAAGGGATAAAAAGGAAATATACGATGTTATATTGTGGTGTGTTATGCTTCATATGTTATGTTATTTATTCTTATGTTATGGTTATGTTATGTTATACCAAGTACTAAGCTAAACTCCCCTCCACTTAACCCATTCCAACTAATGTTATTTTAGCTCATTCAACTTACATAAACTATCCTTAATTTTATCGGTTGAATTTCAACCGCTGGGCGAACACTAGTACAATTAATTTTACAATGCGTAATTTATATTTAAATTGAAATAATTGAGTTACGTTACTTCCATCCAACTTCACCTCCAACCGAACTCGAAACCGCAATCTCAGAACCAGAAGCAGCAGTCTTCACGCGACGTCACATCCAATATTTGCCAGGAAATCAATTAACATTGTCTTAACAGCACTGAAAAAATTCCAGGTTATTTAAGGAAATTATTACCTGCTTATATTTAGTAAATTTACTTCCTAAAATTGATGACGCACTGTGTTGAGCATGAACCTAAATTAAGGGAAAACTTCTCAAATTGAATAAATTTTTCGTAATATTAAGGAAAAAAACCGAAACTACAAAATTAGGAAATTGGTTCTTGTTTTAAGGAAACGCACTTTTCTAAGTGTAGGGACAGTTTGTTTAAAGTTTGCCTCCATATAGTCGAAACACTGTGCGACGCAGTCAAAGACAATGACCGACAAACTAAAATATAAAAATATAGATAAAGATTAACATTGAGATTAATGAAAAGATTTAGGTGAAGATCAAAATGAAGATGGGAATGGAGGTGTATATAAAAATGAAGTGCAAGATGCAGAAGAAGATGTAAATGCAGATGAAGGTACAGGTGAAGATGAAGATGATGACGAAGATGAAAATAACGATGAAGATGAGGAGGATGATGACGATGACGATGAAGATCAAATTCAAGATTATGTAGATCAAAGTTAAAGTTAAAGACGGAAGATGAAGATGAGAAGTAAGATAACGAAAAAGACAGAAATGAAGATAGAGGTACAGAGGAAGATGAAAGTGAAGGTGAAGATGGGAACGAAGATAAAGATGAAAACGATGCGTAATATGAAAAAGAAGATGAAGGTGATTTTGAAGATAAAGACAAAGATTTCTTAGAAATTATATTGAAAACTTCCTTTCGGTAATTTTTCCTATGAAGACATACTTTTAATTTTGTTTTCGTAGTCTTTTAAATTTCATGTTTTTAATAAAATTCAGCGCAGAGGAATTCAAATATAAATTAAATGAATCTGTGTTAATTTTGTTTATGGTATTTAACATACATAAGTATGTATTTATGTAGGTACAAAAAAAATACAAGCACGAATTAGCCACATGACTCAATATGCATTGGTAAATAAATGTTGCATGCCACTGCAATGAAATGGATTGCAAGTAAGCACCAAACAAAACGCGACAGCGTGGCTGGTGGCGAGTTGCGGGCCAACTGTGTAATCTGATTACAATATCAATGCGATAAGCATCAATATGACGGCGCTACGCACACTCCCACGCCGCAACGACAATAAAAACAACAATAGAATTTTAAGAACAACAAACAAAAAAACAACGTACGAAAATCAAGCAACGATATTAGCCTTTAAAATAATGTAAGCAATTAACAAAACCAACAACTACAACTACAACTACAACAATGACAATATTGTAATCGAGTGACAGCAACACCAGAGCGCAATGTTGTAACATCAAAATGTTGCAACTTCTTGCTGCGACTTGGCTGACCTTTACTAAGATTGCACTGAACGGCTACGAGGTTGCAATAAAACGGAAAACGTAAAAAAAAAGATAGGCTCAACACAAAACTGAGTAGGTATATACATACTTGCAAATAAACCTAAGCGCCAGCATGCACTTCGCAGTAGACATGTGGTTGCTTTTATTTTATTGTTGTATAGCGAACATGAGCTGCAACAAGCCGCTTTACAAGATGTTTACATAAATTCCTGAAATGCAAACAACTTGCAACATGCAATGGGCGCCCCCAACAGCAGCAGGAGAACAACAAAACAGCTAATGACATGCTTG